TATTAAAAAATGGGCTCAATTCATGTGACGTCATAGTCACATAATAATGATAACCCCGTGTTCTTAGCCAATCAGTTCGAAATCTCATGTGACGTCATAGTCACTCGATGAAAGGAATCATGTGTTTTCAGTTAATCTGTTCATGCGCTTCGTTGTGTTACAAACTTTTAATCTTTTCAGAAACTTTCTCTTAAAAGATACAAATTTGTCAACAACAGTAATGAACATAGGTAGACAAAATGCATTTTATTTAATAGTACATGCATAAAATAAGTTTTTTTTTTTAATTTTAAAATCTTTTGAAGAAATTTATTTTTAAAACATTTAAACATTTTTACCCAATTTTCAAATTTTGAATTTTACCCAAATTTTACAAATAAGAACAACAAGTACTATTAGTTTGATGTCTGTTTTGAATTCCATGGAGAACACGCATTTATCTTTATCACGTGACCGTCATGAATTAAACCCATTGAATATATTGTGTATCACTCAAAGTAGTAAACGGGATGCCAACTCAATTGCAGACCTCGTCATTTGATCATAATTTTGATATAACACTTAATATTGTTTACATTTTTTTAAGAAATACTTTCAGCATTTATAACCTGTTCTTGCGGAAACAAACTCATTAAAAAAGATTGAAGTAAAATGAAAAGAAACAGATATGTAAGACAATTTTGGGCATGTCAAATTTGTCACTTTTGTTTTCTCAAAACATTTGAAATCTTAACTAGGTATATTCTCGAAATGATTCGAAGGAAAAAAATGTGCCAGACTGTTATTATTGTCATATAAATTGGACTTTAAAGCTATTGTTAATCAATAATTTCTTCGACATGGCCATCGACGAAAAAATAACATAAAAGTAAAGAATTTTTAACGCAGCATAAGGCACCCATCAAGTGGCTATTTTGTGAATTCTTGAACATAATGTTAATCCTATGGAAATTCCATTTTCCACGTAGAAACTAGATCGGAGAATCGATTTGAATGCAATAAAATGCACCTGAAAGAACACAAAACAGCGAAGGTTTCTCTAGAATTACATTTTTTTCTTCTGATTTCTGAAAAATACTTTTATGACTTTTTTGATGATTCATTTGTGAGTAATCCGATCTTTAAGAAATACAAATAGTTACAAATATTGGGGGAAAAAATCTGATCCTTGAGAATAACTTTCATTAGTTTTAAGGTACTTCAATCCGTACGTATTTTTTTTTTTAGATTTGGGGAAGAAAGTTCAATTTTTCCCCCATAGAATTAACATTATACTCACTAATTTAAAATGGAGTGGAGATGGGAGCCTTGATACAGAAATTATTTTAAAACAATATCAGTAAATATATATTTTTTTTCATATTTTGAACATTAGCGCATTAAAAAAATTTACATTAGATAACCAATTGAAATACCTAGCGTTACTCCATAGTAAAATTACTTAAAAATATCACACAAGAGAGAATACTCTTTCAAAAATAACAAATGAATAAGAGTGACCTTGGAGAACAAATTAGTTAGCTAAATGACGCCAAGTTACTACAGTTGGCGACAAAATATATCACATAGAAAATTCAGAGGGATATTGGATGATCATTTCACGAGAAAAACGTGGAAACCGGTAGAAGGTTCTTTTAACCAAAAAAAGGATGATGCGCTGAAGCAACATTGGAGTCAAACATTTGACAGTGATTGTGTGTTTCATTTGTTTATGTGAAATTGTGATTACGAATTCAAATAGCTGTGTTTATTATTTCAGTAATTGTGAATCTGTGTTATCCTGTACGTGTGCGCTAATTGTTTCCTGTAAAAAGAAAATCTACTGTAATTACTAGAAAGTTCCAGAATATGTTACGAATTTCTTCGAAAGAACTGACCTGTTATTTCTGTGGATCATTCCTACATTTGAAAGAAGATAAATCATGTAGCAATGTAAATTATAGTTAATTATGAATATTTATCAGAAATAATTAAATTACAAACTTTAATAATCAAATCAATTAATTACAATAATGAAAATAAAGATTAAATTTAAGAAATTAAGCGTTTACAACTTGAGATTAAATTTAAATGTTTAACTAAGAGCCCATCTCCTATTCATGAGGAACAAAAATTCAGGCTTTTAACGAAAAGACCAATTGAAAAATATCGTCTTCATACAAATCAGTAAAATAAAGGGTTTTTTAATTTTTAATGAGGGAAAAAGGCAGAAATCTTTTATCTTCTATAATGCAGTTATAATTTTTACTCCGGCTAAATAAGAAGTATTTTAGTAATCAAAATTTATGGTACTGGTGTGAATGAGCTAATGGTAAATTTTTAGTCAAACTAAATAATTCTTAAAGTGTAAAAAATGGACATTTTGTAAAACCTTATTTTATAACTTTGAAACTTAACACACATATTAATTATATATATATTGTTACGAATGAATTTTGTGTAACAAATACTTAAAATAGTGTAAATAATTTATATCTTGATGTGTAATATCTTGATGATATTACTTTCTATTGTATTTATTTTATGTTAAAATTTGTAATATTCACAAGCAACGCCATTCCTTACATTATAATGGCGATTCAATGAAAACTTGGCGAAATCTTCGTGATAGAGCCAAGTTGGCATCATTTTTGGCGACTATATGGATTCTTCAGGAAATTACGGGAGAAATTATCTAATATCACGATCTATGACTCAAGCGGATTTTTCGAGAAAAATCTGTGGCATATAAATAGGGAGTTGCTCACCGGAACTGAGTTAGACTTGTTTTGACTGATGAAGAGTAGTATTCATTTGACCGTGAAGAGTTGACAAGCGACTAGTTATTACTCCGGCTGTTTGGTAGGACGAGCGAATAATGCTTGCTAATAATCTTTAACATACTTGTATTTTAGACACTGTTAGTTGTGTCTGAGCGACGTAGAAGGTGTGAAGGTCTTCTGAGACTTTGTCTGCGAATATTGCTGCTGTATTTCAAGGATTGTTTTTTCGAAAATAAATTTCCATCTCTCCTGAAGAACTGTCTTAATCTTTGAGGCTGATTGCATAAAATCCTTGAACCCTGATCTACATAGCAATATAAATAAATATTTTAAAGGATAGTTTTGTTAAAAAAATTTTTTTGAAAAAAATTTCTCATTACAATCTACACAAATTTTTATCATTTTAAAACTTTTTACTTGTTATTTCCCATAGATTAAAAAAAAAAAAAACCTTATCAAAAATTAAAAAATTCTTTCATTCAAACAATAATAATACAATTAATGTGTGTGTGCGTGAGACTATTCACTTAAAATAATGAGTTTTATTTAAATGCTTTATATCAATGTTAATATTACGGAAATAAGGGAAATACAACTTGATGTGACCCTCTAAAGAATGTTCTCTTCATTGTTTTCCAAAAATTCTAAAAATGCTCACTTATTTTTCACTTATTTCTTGGGAATTTTTAATTACTTATACGTTAAGAGAATTACATCAATCGATAAGTTAAGTAAACAAAATAATAATTAATTTTTAGGGGGAAGAAAATTTTATTTCATGAATAAGATCTTTAAGAAATTTCAAAGATTTCATTTTTTTATTGTAATGTGTTTTGTAAAATTAAGCTCTATACAAAGGAACCATAAATTGAGAGATACGAACATTCACAAACAAGAGTTCTGTATTACACGTTAGGCAAAACGTGTTTCATACTAAATTTATTTTTTTGTCACAAAACTTTGTAATTATTTGGTTTTTTTTTAAAATTCTTTTTCCCCATAAAATTTAATAAAATTCCTCTTCTATTTTTTTTACATGTTTGATTGGACACATGAGAAGATAATTCTTGAAAAATCTGCATTCAGAAATCATCACTAACTTCCTCAAACTGGACAAAAGATCTTTGTTGAAGTGAAATCAACAGACCTACAGCTGCCAGCTTCTGAAAAGGTGCACGCGACACACAACTGATAGAGGGGGGAGGGGGAATGAGGACATTCCAAGGGAGCAGCTGTTCGCGCGCAGGGGTGGGTCAATAAATCTTTTTCGGAATGGAAACAGCTGTTTAGGGATGCAGGCAGACGATTTGCTCAAGCAGTGGAGGAGAAAAAGGGGTTTTCTGGGAAAGATGAAACGCAAGTGGATAATGTTTCACCTGTGAAACGTCACACATGTACTGTTTTTTGGTTGATTTACTAGAGTTTAAATTGAGTTATATATGAATGCAAAAAAATAAAAACGTGAATTTACAATAAAATTTTAGTGAAAACACAATTTTTTCCCTAAAAGCAAAATAAATAAATAAATAAATAGGACTATTTTTTTTTAAAAAAGAAAACCATTATGAATATTTTTTTGATTTATTTTAAAAACAAGTATTGTAATAATATTAATTAAATGTTAAGAATGCAAAATAAAAACTTTTTTTTTTTTTAAAGGCTAAATTTTGGCATCTTAATGATTTTTATGAAATTAATCTCTCGTAACATAAAATGATTAAGTGATGAAATAATTTCTTTCAAGAAGATTCTTATTATTCTTAAAAAAAGAAATTCACTAACCGTATGTTGAATTTGACGAACTATGTGAATTATTCATGCCTCTTTTAGTATTAATTACTTGTTGCTGTCGGAAATCTTTACATATATAATTTGGTAGAAGAGGTGGATTCATCACGACTCCATGCAAATAAAATTTCGTTATAAAATTCTCTAAAATCTAAGTTAAAGTGTTTTTCAATTCCTACTCTATTAGTACTCTCTCTCTCTCTCTCTCTCTCTCTATATATATATATATACATGTATCTTGTTCAAATTTTCAATCATTAATAACATATTTTCTATTTCATCCATTCACACAAGTTCAAATACATTTTTTTCAAACTTGAAGTGTATGACAGTTAACGTTAATACATTTTTTTCAAACATTAATTCGTTAATTAAATAAAAAAATGAATTAATAGTAACAAACATAAATAATAGTCCAGCAGCATATATAGAAAGGAAAATCTTTCGTTGTTCCCTGTAGCGCAATGGATAGCGCGTTCGACTTCTAATCAAAAGGTCGTGGGTTCGAAATCCCACTTGGGATGGCTTAATTTCTGAGGATGTGATTTTTTTTTCTATTTTATTAGAATAATTAAATTTAATGAGAATAAATAAACAGAGTAACAAACAAACAAAAAATAGTCCAACACCAAAAAGAAAGGAAAATATAAAATTACAAGGAAACTCGCTTTCTGTTTTGTCTCTTAATATTGTTGTTCTATCATATTTACATACATATTTATATTAATTGTAATTATTTAATAAAAAGTAACTAAAATACAATTTTTCTTTGTTGACCTAAGTAAAAATTAACTTAAAATTTTTTTTTTATATATTACTTGTTATTAATCAAAATACTTCTTTAAATAATTTATCAAATGAAATAAAATAATATAAAATTCACATGCATCTCGAATTTTTTTATTCTTACATACAAAAGGGCTACGTTATCCCAGTGGCCAAGGTGTCGAATTCTGAGACCGTTGACTACGCTGGTCATATAAAAAATCATCGTGTTAATTAATGGACTATATAATTATAATAAAATAGTACATACAAAAGAAAAAGAAAAACAAAACAATATTGTTGACTGTTATTAGAAGTATAGATAATAAAGGTATCTTTGTTTACCTCATATACGAGAGAATATGAAACCTTTGATTAAAAATATCCGTTCTAGTGCAATGTTAAATGGACAAAATGGCGCAGATATTTGCTTTGAAAAAAATACGCAAAAATGCACAGTTATACCACAAATAAAGCTCCAAACATAAAGTTTTAGTCAGAAAAAAGTGAAAAATAAAAGGCCATTGATGCAAGATAAGTAATTAGCCAGATGGAAAAAGATTACGAATATTTTTTTCTTGCACGCATCGATCAAAAGAGAAAGAATACAATTCTAACAAATCGTTCAATACAATGGAAAAAATGTTTTTCTTTTCTAAGCACAGAGGAAGTGCTGGGCGGGCCGCTTCTTGCTCATGTGCCATTAAGCAATTATGAGTAATGACTTCTGGAAATCGGGATATTGTTGAACCTAAGTGTCATCTTTCATGGTGGCACGGAATGACAATTGCTCTTGTAGGTGGTAGGTTCTTGACCAGTAAGTGCTTTTAAGATTGCGATGTGTTTATAAATATGACATAACTTTGGAATATACATAGCAGTGTTTCCCAAAGTGGTCTATATGGACCCCAAGGTTCTATGATGACTTGCAAGGGGTTCACGTAAGTGGAAAAATAATTTAGGGGTTCATAATGTATAAATGGGGGTCTACGCGCGCGCGAGGGGAGAGAGAGGCTCTCATTAACCTGAACATGACTTTAATTTTAGAAGAAAATTTAATGAAGGGGAAACCAGATTTTACTTACTTAACAGATTTATTTACTATATTTAATGAGGTTAATTTGCACAGTAGCAATTTGACGGTATAAATTTCACTGAAACATCATTTCAGCTTTTTTTGCCAGAACAAAGCTAAAGAAGTATAATATTGGGCGTCGCAAATTTTCCCAGTGTCTCATTTTGTCGCAGACAATCTGCCAGGAAGATGATGTTTTAGCTTAAGTTCAACATTAAAAAGCCTTCTGTTCAGATTTAGAAACTAGGTTTGCGAATGCTTTGACTATTGTAATGCCATAGTAGACGAAGAAATCATATGGTCACATTGAAGAAAATAAATGTCATATTAACTGATTGGAATAGGCATTAACGAAGATCTTAGAGTAAAGTTTAGAAACCGATGTCAGCAATTTTGGCTTTAAAAAGATACACCTTTTTTTTTTACTCGAATTATAGAATAAAATATCCTGAGAAACTTTTTGTTTTTCCTAGAGAGCAAATCAGGTTGGCTAGGTTGGCAATCTTAAAAAAAAGACCAACATTTATTAACCGAGGAAATTTAGGCTTAAACTGGGCAAGATTGCAGCCAAATGTTGAAAATTTGTTATTAAAGCTCCAGATTCCCTCTCATTAAAAACGTTTTTGTTTGCTGAGGAGAGAAGACGACAAGCAAGCTTTGTGAGGAGACAATTTCAGTGATTGTCGATCGAAGAGCGATCTTCACGCCAGGGAGCTTTGCGTGATGGTTTTTATAACTGCCGGAGTCAGATGTGTTGCATGCCCATCCTGGTACATTCTTTAGAGTTTCCTTTAACAGTAAATCATTCAGTCATTAATTAGAATTATTATTTACCTAAAACGTTTGCCTAATAGATGTAAATAATTGTATCTGTGTGTCGTCCTTTGTGTTTGTAAATAAATCAATAAAACATCATTCCATATCATCAATTGACAATCCTAGGACATTACGCAATGAATGAATTTTTTTCTATTAAATTACATTCAGAAAATAAATCAGGAAAAACATCGATTCTTTATCACTGCAGCAAAACTTACTGTTAAAACTGGAAAAACACAAATAATAATAATAATAATAATAATAAAAAATCCCTGTTTACTTTCTATTATGCAAACATACATAAGGAGCTAAGAAAACATAAACAAGCATTGTAGCTTAAAGTATAATTTTTTCTTCTTCTCTGATTTTCGGGATTAAAAACTTTTACTTCAACTTAAAGCAGGATTTTTTCCGACCGTCCCTCCCCCTTTAAAATTTTCCTCTTCCAGGAATAAAAGCGATTAATACCTCATACGCACTCCAACCAAAGTCGAATTTAAAGCGCTAAACCGACGATTATACAACAGCTGTAATGGGATAGAAAATAACTTTTTGAGGCGCTTTCAAAGTTTTCGGAGGTATTTTAATAGCATTTTCCACCGACGTGGGTGCGCGTACTTTTCCCTCCCTAATACAAAAAAGGCGCCAATATATATATTTTTGTGAAGGGAAGAAAAATTCTTTTCTCTTTTTTGTGATCGATAGAATTCATATTATAAAGAGATTATGTATCAAAGGAAAACTTTATCTTCTTTCCCACATTTTTGTAAAGATATCTATCACCGTAAGTGTTAGAATTAGAAAAAAATAAAAAAGGAATTTTCATGCAAGAGTTAAAAGGCTTTACATGCATTACATATAAGGTAATTTTGATACCTACTGCATTATGCATTCTTCTCAAAATGTTTTTTTGGAATGTTTTGAAGGGGGGGGGAAGGGGGGAATGTTATGATTAATATATGATGTTCAGATTTTGACGTATATATTAAGCTCTTTTGTATGTTTTTAGCCCTATCCTTTTGCTCAGTGCATATAACGCCCTGTAATTAAAAAAAAACTTAACAACATCTTATAACTTCTGATTTAATTTTTGTTCTATATTTTTCTTTGTTTTTTTCTGTCCGAATTTTCCTTATAATTTAACAAGGCTGCTTTGACAAACATATTTTAACTTAATTTTATGCGCAAAACATGTTACAGTTAGCTGGAAATCCTTCGTAGCCTGCTAGTTAAATAATTCCAGTTCAACGATAACAATATATATTTAAATGAAAACAAGCCAATCTGGACATATAGGTGAATTTTATAAAAAGTGAGAGGCTAAGTTTTAAAAATAGCAAATACTGTATAAATCGCTTAAAATTAGATTGAGATTTATTATAAATGTAACGTTTGACGTCGCGCGTTTTATTTTCGACTACGTAATGAAAATTGAGATGTGTGCATTAAAAAAATATTTAGAAATATCGTATCAATTGTAGTAATATGTCAATCATCTTTCAAATTCGGGAAAGACATGAAGCAAACACTGTAAAGCGCACAAATTTTTTTCCATGGTTGAAAGCCCCCAACTCGAATCATGCGTCAAGACAACACCAAATGATTCTTCAGATTTTGTAAACAAAAAACAGTAAAAAATAAATCATTCAATTAATAATTAGCATTAATAAAATAAATTGTTAAGTACAAGTACTTAATTAAATTTAATGTTATATATACATAAATATATATATGGTATAATAAAAATCAATCGATAAAAGGGCTTTGGGGGGACGGACCCCTAGGACATCCCCCCTGTGTGCGCCACTGAGCAAACAAGTTCTTTTAATCGTACTTTAATCTGGAACTGTTTGGTACTATAACAAGAGATTTTCTTCCAACACGAACAATTATCACACATCCATAAAAACATACATTGAAAAATGCCACTTATTTGAATCACATCAATTCAAATCCGTTATCGAAATTTCGCGTGAGGCAAATAAAACGGAGTCTATCAATTATTTAACTAACATGTTGCTTCCCTGCATCGTCCTTATATAAGCTGAAAAGCCATTCAAAAACTTTTGGGGAGGGGTAGCCAACCCGCGGCCCACCTTGAATAATTTTGCAGCCCGCGAGATTCATTACAACTTTACAAAATACGATGATTTGGTGTAATATTTTTGTTTTTAGTGTAGTTTTGTAACAAATATATACCATAAATGTTTCTATTTCATTACTTTGCTTCTGTTTTTGTACATACTTAGAAGGGATCAGTATTGCATTGCAGCTCTCCCCCCCCCCGCAGCATTACTCTTGATTCCTGTAACTTTATCGCGCAGCTTATTGCTAGAGCTAGGCATATTTGATCACTGCATTACTGTAATTAAATTATCTATGTTTGTATACATGAAAAATAAGGAAAACAATGGTAATAATTTTTCATTCCGTTTTAAATTTTTATTCCAATAAATGTTTGTAATATGTCCACATCTAAAATAGAGGTATATATTTTTACATGCGACCCATGGAATTATAATGTTTTTCTGAAGTGGCCCGCAAGGTCATTTAGGTTATCCACTCATTTAGGTCATTTAGGTTAGCATTAGGGGTAATCTCTGCAAATAATTATTTGATTATAATCATCATAGACTCTTTTCTAGCAGCATCTATTTTTTTCACCAAATATGGTTATTTGGCGACCTTTGGGGATAAAATGAGTGGCCAAGTCTGTTGTCAATGTCACTGCTACTGAGTCCGCATTATCTCCCTTAGCTTACAAATGATTTTTCCGGCCACAATATACTTTCTATAGAAAAGCAAATAAAATCCTAAATTTTTCGCATACAGCTATAACATATTTAAATACTACTTTTAGTGTAG